ATTTTTTTAAACCACCATCAACAAACAATAAAACAAACTGAAAAGGGATTCATTTACACAAAAATCTTACACATTACACTTACTCAAAATCTTAACCATTCATTTCTTTACTTTTAATTGTTGAGATTTATCACAACTTTTTATATGAAAAAGATAATTATATATAATAAATGTAAATAAATCTCAACAATTAAAAGTGGAGAAATAAGTTGTTGAGATTTTGTGTTTGAGATTTTGTGTAAATGTTGTGTATAAAATTTGTATGTATGTAGATCCCCATTCACATAGTCTAAAAATTCATTTGCACATAAAACTTACATACTAACACAAAATCTTAATAACTTATTTCTCCATTTCTCCACTTTCAATAGTTAATATTTATTCACATGTATTAAAATTAATTATTTTTTTCATATGAAAAATCATAATGAATCTCAACAATTAAAAGTAAAAAATAAATCATTAAGATTTTATATAAATGTGATATGTAACACTTATGTGTAATTAAATTCCTTCTCATATACACATATATTATATATATATACACACACACACATGCATTCTTGACCTCCATTCCAAGTTACATATAAAAATGACCATGATCAGTCTCACTCTCTATATCAATCATCAAACGTCTCTTCTATAGGCTCTCTTTGCAATAATGACCATAATTCAATACTCACGATATTGACCATAATTCAATACATGTCCATAAAGTCTCTTCTATACTCAACATATTGCATCCATGTTAGATTTTTAAAAACAAGCAAATACTTCATGCATTATATACCCAAAAGAAAAGAAAAAAAAAAAAAGCTTTATGCATTTTCCTAGATTTATTTATTTTTTATAGTTTTATATTTAAAATAACAACAATATTATAATTATAACATCATATATAATTATACTTATAATTTTGTATAGTATTAATTAAATAAAATATAACATAATATTAAACAAATAAATATTACAATATCACAAAAAATTTTAATAAAAAAATAATTAGATGATAATACATTATTTTATAAATTTATAATACTAC